TCGTTGAAGGAAACATTTCCCCCCTCAAATGTCACTTTGCTGCAAATGAACGAACGAATGAACGAAACGAATAAAAAAACAAAACGAACGAACTACCGCTAACTAATTTCGTCCGAATCCGAATTGACTTTCACACCCAAATCCCGAAAAACGAAATAACACAAATCCGAATTTAAAACGAAACGAAACTAAACAAATTTTTTGGCAGTGCACATGTCTACTAATTAGGGGAATGGAGGACCAGAGCTACGAGACACGGCTTCTCACCTTAAACATGTTTACGCTGGAATTAAGGAGATTAAGGGGGGATATGATTTTCATGTACAAGATGTTCAATGGTGACAGCAACATTGGCAACAAACTGTTTGAGATTAACTCCATTACAAAGACTAGAGGCCACCACCTAAAGTTGGTGCAGAAAAAATTCCAGCACAATGGGCGAAGAGGGTTCTTTACAGTAAGAGCGGTTAAGGTCTGGAACTCACTGCCATCGGCAGTGATTTCAGCCAAGAGTGTAGATTTGTTCAAGAAACATTTGGACAATTTCTTGAGGGACCGTAATATCCAGGGATACCAGTATCCCTAAGAATGAGATGATGCGTGGACCTATATGGGTTGGACTTGATGGACGTATGTCTTTATTCAACCCCAAATACTATGTAACTATGTAACTATGTAACTATGTAACTATGTGTTGAAGCAGCTCGCTCAGTTAGTCCCAACATACAGAGTCCCAACTCCGGTGTTATCTCCAGCATGAGGGACCGAGTAATAAAACCTGTGATCTGAATCCAATATTGTTGAATAGCAGGGCAATCCCAGAACACATGTCGGAAGCCAGCTGGAGAACTAGAACATCTCCAGCAAGCTACCGAACACGTGCCCTACATTTGAGCCATCTTCGCCGGTATGTAATACACCCTGTGTAATAATTTGTACTAATCTATCCCTAGTTGAGATTAAATGTGTGAAGGGATAATCCCAGGCATCTTTCCAGTCTTCCTCCTCCAAATCTGGTATATCTCTGAACCACTGGGCCCTGCAACCACTCAGACAGCTATGTGTATCAGGAAATAGCATACTATATACCGTAGACAACGGCTTATGCAGCCCCCGTCCTCTCAGCAAACATTCCAGAGATGATGTTCGGAAGGCCCTTGGATTACTCAAAAACTGCGCTCAAAGGCATGGCAGATCTGCAGATATCTGAATATGAAGTACCCAGGCAAACCAAATTTTAACTGTATGTCTTCAAAACTCATGATATTTCCATCCTTCAATAAGTCATCTAACTTTTCGACACCCCTTGAGGCCCATGTTTGACAGTCCTGCATGTCATAGAAATGAGCAAGGTACGTGTTCCTCCACAATGGGGTGTGTGGCGAATATTCCGGTCGTTCACTGGACAATAATACATACACCTGCTTCCAGTAGCCAGCATTGACCGTGTTAGATTATAAGGAGCCTTGCAACCAGATGTAGAACCTTTAAGATCACTACAGAGCGAATTTATGCTAAGCCCATGCATGTCAAAGGTACAGCTGGTCCCTTGAACACTGGTTTAGAGATCCTCTTTTCTCAAGCAGAACACACAAACACAGACACAGCAAACCAAGCTACTTCCCTGCCCCTGGCCCCCTCTCCTCCCTCCTTCAAGCTAGTAGATGAACAGTTGCTGGAGTCTGCTCTGTCCCTTGTAAACTTGTACTGGACAGGAAGTTCATAGAAGCTGAGCTAAGAGACTTGGAAGCAGCTGTTTAGAAACTTGGTGATTGTAAGTGTTTGGGCAAAAATGTAAAGCAATGTTTTGCTGGGCAATGTATATTTGTTTGATCTGGATTCATTCTTGGATAAAAGTTTGAGAATTTAATACTACTTAAGGTTCAAAATGTTTCCTATATTCTTGTCTTCTTTATATAATGTTTCAGCCTACCTGCATGTGAGGAAGTGTTTTTGTTTTCAGCTTTGTTAAATCTACCCCTAATACCTGTACATGTTTGGATGCACTTGTATATATTACAGCTCCTCATATGCTTTTGTGTTATGACAGGTGAGAATGTTAAATGGGCAGAAGAAGCCCCGTGATGTCATGATTTGTTCCTCCCACTTGTTTACATTCTGGCCAGAGCTGTCATTTTGTGGCGAATCTTCATCGGGTACGGACGGGTTGTCGTGTTGCGGGACATGTACCCCTTACTTATTCACAAAGGGAGGGTGGCATCTGGGTGTCCCTTAATCAAAGTGGTACACCTATGGGTAAGAGGCCCTTGCCCCATCGGCATGGAGACATCCTCCAAATGCTGAGGGCATGTGGCCTGGTAAGGCGCAGGGAGGGGGAGGGCGCTTTTCTGCCCTGCCGGGCCGGTGCTCGGGTCAAGGGTCTGGAAGGAATTTTGCAAGGACCCCACTTTTTTCCCAATTTTCAGGAAAAAATTCCCCACACAATTCCTACCAGACCTAAAAGGCCTGGTATGGCTTTTGGGGGGGCGGGGGCAAACACTTTTTTTATTTTTTATTTGGGGGGGGGGTCTCTCCTAACTTTCACTACCAGACCTAAAGGGTCTGGAATGAATCGGGAGGGGAACCTCATGCTTTTTTTTTTTCTTCTGCGGACTGTCATTTTTTTTTCCTTTTGTCTAATATCACTTTGCTGCACCAAAAATCCGTAACGAAAATTCGTACATAATACCGCTAACGAATTTGGTCCGAAATTTTCCTTATCGGCAATTCGGATTCATTTGCATACGTCATTTTTGTTATTCGGACATTCAGATATATCCGAGTGTCCGAATAACGAAAATTTGTCCGAATAACAAATCTTTCCGAAACAAATCGCACTTCATCTTAGGGGAGGAAAATACCTTTCCCTGAGATCGCATGAGATTACAGGTGAGATTTCCCAGCAATGCTCTGCTGATGTATTCTTCCCAAGTGGATAAACTTCTATTTGTAAGTAAATGAAAAACAAGTTTGTTTAACTAATGAATTCAAGATGAGTTTAAATTAGCATGCAGAGCTGTATACTGCTGTGATTTTTAGTGAAAGGGGGTAAAGGTCCACGTTAAAGCCTTGTAAGAACTCAATTCATAGTTGAAGCACTGCTAGGCTTTCATGTACATAAATATAAACGAAAGGCATTTATCATAGTAAAATAAAAGTACATGATGTATCTTTCTGACAAATATGAGTAAAAATGAATTTACTGTAAATTTGAAGAATACATTTCATTATGTTTATATGCCAGGTAGTTACATTTGTATGCTTAATTACTGTGCTGTAGTTTATTTGCGGTATGCATTGCTTATACGTTTGAAAGTTTTTTTCATTTTTTTTTATAGTATACTTCATATTTCATATATACACTTCATACTTTTCAATTTCATAGTAGCTTATTACACTACAGGCCCCTTAAAACATGACATCATACATTTACAATTTATTTTATATAAAACTTGAAGTGTCCATTTCTATAAATATATAGCAGAGCTCCACACTAGTGTAACATTTCTATTACAAATATAAATGTTACCCCATTTTGAACTGTTCATGGATCTATTCCATGTTTTAAAAAAAACTAATTTACAAATGAATATTATTTTTACAGTTTTAAATGTATACATATATTGTACCTAGAAAGTACAGGTGAAACTCGAATAATTAGAATATCAGGCAAAAGTAATGGCAGTAAGTGCTGCAAAAGAGGCCCAAACCAAGTACTGAGTACATATGCATGCTTGTACTTTTCAGAGGTCCGATATTGTTCTATGTACAATCCTTGTTTTATTGATTGCATGTAATAATCTACTTTTTTGAGGTTATGGATTTGGGGTTATTGGGGTTTTCATGAGCTGTAAGCTATAATCATCACAATTATGACAAATCACGGCTTGAATTATCTTGCTTTGCATGTAATAAGTCTCTCTCATATATTAGTTTCACCGCATAAGTTGCATTAGTGAAATAAATTAACTTTGCACGATATTCTAATTATTCGAGTTTCACCTGTATAGTAAACAATTGTTGGCTAGTGTAGTGGTGTTATTGTAATTCATAGAAGCCAATCAAATATCAGCATCTACCTTTCAGGTGTAGTCAAATAAAGAACTTGAAATTGACGTGTAAATGTCTAATATGTCTTAAAGTGCAAGCTAACATGAGTCTTAGCTAAGAGATACATCTTTATTCTGTTATGTTGTTTATACAATGACAATAATGTTCAGGCTTTCATTCTCTGTGATGAGAAGAAATTGTCCAGTTAGGGTAACCCTAACCTAGTTAAGGTTACTGCTGCAATTCCTTTGGCGAACAAAAACAGCATGCAAGTTTAAGGTTGTCCCCACCAGAGGGTGTTGCACCTTTCATCACAGTGGAGAATGGTGGATATCGTAGATGTAATGTAAATTTACAATGTAAAGCCTTGCTTTTAGACTGTTAAAGAGCTTGTACACTTAAGTATCAGCCCCTAGGCTTTTCTCAATTAGTGATTACATAAAAACGTTGTCAGCAAGACATCTGCAATTCGTACAGGCTTATCTGGATACATAAGGTCAATGTAGGCAATTACATAGTGCTGCACAGCACATAGCACATAGTGCTGCCGTTACAAGAAATTATTTACAGATAACTAAAATGATAAGTAAAGCTCATGTAGAGGCATTGCTTAAACATCATTGCTACTGCTGTAGTAGGATCTTATTGATTTGTTTTAGCCAACCTCAATCTTAACCTTAAAGTAACACTTTCCTAACTGAAATGAAGGGGCTGCCATTGCTGCCTTCCTTCTGAAAATACTAGTTGCCCTGCTGTTATGTTCACCCTTTGGCTTCAATAATTTGAGTCACAGCCCCAGAACAAGTTTGGATACCATTCAGAAGATGTTCTCATCAGCTAACTTGTTTTGGGTTTGTAACTTGAAGTTTTGAAAGTGGACCTGCTTATTATATCAGCAACAAGTATTACAAAAAAAAACTTTGTGGAAAAATGTAGAAAACTCACTTACCTTACCTCTGGCTGCCGCATTGCAGAGCGTTATTGCGCAATCCTTCTGCTAAGATCTTTGGACAGTTGAGGAACCCAAATTTCAAGAGCAGATGCTCCAGCAGAGTGCGGTAGCATCTTCTCATAAGATCTGGCATACTCAGCATTCCCAGGATATCACCAGAAGGATGGATAATGTCACCCTTGTCTAGTAGGTGTGGACAGGAGCTGGGTGAAAGGTAAGTATATTTTCTAATTTTTTCCCACAGTTTTTTAAGCTATCATGCAGTGATTTATGTAGTGGGGGTGAGGTCCAATATAATAAATGGACCCCATCATTTAGTGCAAGGTCCAAGCTTGAGGGTTAGGATGAGAGCCAGATAATTTGCAATTTCAGAAGGAGAAATCAGCAATGACACCCCCCAAGTTTCTCTTAGGAAAGGTGTGAGTTTGTAGAAGCCACTGTTCCATATAAAGGTATGCAGAAAGCTAAGCTCAAGACAGCCGTACCAAGGTTTCTGTATATGACTTTACCCATTTGACTGATATGCACAGCAGCGCTGAATGCACAATCAGCCTAAGTGTTATCTGTTCACATTTTATTAAGAGAGAATATCCCTATATTTTCAAACCCTAAAGTATCAGAGATATATAAGTGCATCTATTTAACAATACGATTGCTCCATGTAATGTTTCAGGACTTTTGTGCTAGGTGTTTCATCACAGCACTTATGTTTACATATCACAGCAATCATGTGTCAGTCTTGCTGAAATATATACTTTACTAAGCCTGTTGGTTTTCTTCCTGTAGCTAATTAACATGATTCAAATTTACAGGTGCTCATTGTTATACTTTATAGTATTACTATTATTATTATTATCATTATTATTATTATATTATACATTCAGGCTTTGAGATCCAAATATTGTTTATAATACAGGCAGCCTGCTTTCAGATAAAAGCTGTAGATGCCAAGATGCGCATATGCAATCAGCCATTTTTACAAATCATTCCTGTGGCAACTACTTTCTTAAATACTGCGGCCAGCTTGTGGGATGGATTCATGTGGTCACAGATAAGACCCAGTGGCTACCTGAAAATTGCAATAAAAGTAAATTATTACTTGCATGTAATAACAACGTCTACACATATATATATATATATACATGTTGAATTGTATGTGTAAATATAATCCTTAATTAAAAACATATATAACAATGTAAGGAACACAATAAAGTCTTAATTGATTAATTTGCGTCAAACCATTTGGGTACTTGGGGTCTACTGAAACTGTTTTTTTAGTAAGTTAGTGCATTAACATAATATTTCTTCTATGATATTTAATTGCTCTATCATCTACTATTTCTTTGTATGTTATCTTTTTATTATTTTGTAAAAGATTTTGAAAAAGTGGAAAGGTATATTGAACAACAGCACAGTTGGAATAGCATGTAACCTTGATCTGATGTGTAATATTAACTACTATGGACAGAAAAATAATAAAAATTAAATTTAAAAATATATACAGTGATATACAATGATTTAAACTAAACCTTTAAAAATTCTTAAACAGATATACTTTATCCTTTGTGTAAGCATAACGTACAAGGATCGTATTCGTTTTTCCTGGGTATGGCCAAGTTAAGGTTTCCATATATTTCAGGAAAAAATACCGCATACTTTCTTGCAAATATGTGTGAATGTTTGTCCTGTGCGAATATATGCACAAACGAACATAATAAAATAAATACAATAGTTACTTATTTCCTATGCTCTTTTAGCTTCATCCAGTGGCCATAATGCGATATTACAATCAGAATGTTTGAAGTAATTACACTTATAAAGGAAAAAAAAACCCCAAAGAACATTTGTTTGTGGATATATTGACAGGACGAATATTCACACATTTTTACAGGATGAATTGTTTATAAATGAAAACCCTAATCTAGCTGAAACTAAACAAAATACTAAATCCATCAAACACCTAATACTCAAGCTACGTAAAACAATGATTACCTAATTCTCAGATTAATAAAGCAATCTGAAGGGTAACTAATATTAGAAAATTGAAGCATGTATGTCTCTCTAGATTGGAGTCAGTAAACAAGAAGTTAGGGGTACATGTACAATAAATGTATCTATGGCATAACAGGTAGAGCTTAATTTGGAGAATGTGCTCATCACTTTGTACCTGTGCTGAGAGAATATGCAGGGTGTCATTTATGATTTTTCAATTTGATGTACTGGCCTGGGACATTTATTCAGATTTAGCAGTTCTAACTCCCTAACCTGTATGCTTCTTATGGGTCAGCAACTCTAAATATTGAAGCCAAAAACAGCTAGGCGACAGGTATTTATAGGTCTATGATGACAGTCTGCTTTGCTTCTCTCAGTACACATTTCCTTTAATACGTACATTACAGAAACAATCCTTTATAGATATGAACTTACAGAATATTCATTTATTTTGGTATTTTCACTCGGAGTTGTCATTGCATCAAATCTGGTCTCCTTTATCTCTTCCTAAAAAGGATAGAATTCGTTTTCGTAATATTGCATTTAACAGATACTTTAGTCTCATGCTCATGACTGCCTTCTAGCGCCTATGTACACAGAACAGTTATATATATCCTGATAAAAACGAAAACACAGGAAACAACATGGACATATCTAGTTTAGTGTTGAATCAAAATAGATTTAGGAGCAAACAAAGTGGTGTGAGAATTATATAATAATATTTTTTTACCTTCGGCTCCTTATAGTTAGATATGCTATACAGATTTTTCTTAACCAATATATGTAACACAGCGTCATGGACAGTTAGGAAAATCATGGAGGTAGTGATGTCATCATCAAAAAATCCACATCGTTCTAGTTTTTCTAAAACATTGCCTGGAAGAAGAATAAAATAATTATATTAAATATACCTTTTATAAGTTCTTACATCCAAGCTTCATAATATTCCTTAAAAAAGTATCTGTTAGCCAACTAAGTGTTGAGGTTTGAATCAAATACTGGCTTAGGTACAATATGCCCCAGTTACTTATAGCATATCTATGGCTGCATAAAAACCAAGAAAATGATACTGTTTAAAGATTACAATGCCTGCTATTACAAGACTGCTATTACAGCCTGTGTCTGACAAGAATGAGTATATCCCAACTTTTAGTTTTGACCATCCTAGATGGATTGGGAATATTCCCAAAGATCAAATGATCAGCATGTGGAGGAACTGTACATTGCAACAATAATATTTAGAACAGTGGTTTGGGTGATATTTTGAGATGAAGTGAGTAATGAAGGTTGGGGCAGAGTTGTAGATGGCTTTGTAGGTTATTGTTAGTATTTTACATTTTATACGTTGGACAAGTGGGAGCCAGTGGGGAGATTGGCAGAGGGGGGTGGCAGACACTGATCAGCTGATAAGATGGATGAGTCTGTCAGCAGCGTTCATGATAGAATGAAGGGGGGGATAGCCTCTTTAGTGGTAGGCCAACAAGGAAGGAGTTACAGTAGTCGAAGCGACATATTACAAGAGAGTGAATTAGAAGGTTTGCAGTGTCATTTGTTAAAAAGGGGCGTATTTTGGAAATGTTACAGAGGTTGAGCTGGCAAGATTTAGATAGTGATTGGATGTGGGGCTGAAAGGAAAGCTCAGAATCAAGAATTAGGACAGCGTTCAGTTCCAGAGCAGGTGGAAAAACTGCAGCATGATCTATTTTTTCTGCTCTGGAACTCACCAAAATGCATGCAAACGCATCAAAAACACATGCAAATGCCCTGGAACGCAATGGAAGCCAATTTTAGGCTAAAAAAATGGACCGGAACACGGCAAAAACGCGGCAAAGCACACTGCACTGCATATGCAAGAAATCATGCAGATCTGGTCTGGATTTGGTGTGAACAAGCTCTTCAGCCATTACATATGGAATGTATCACTATCTCACTGTTTGCTGTGTTGGTTTGGATCATTTGCGTTAGGTATCACAGTGACATCTCACGTCCAAAATTGGGCACAGCGCCTAGGAGTTAACGTGCATGTTCACTTTTGCAGCTAAATTGGAATAACATTTATTTTATTTTTGTTACATGTTTCTCATTCATATAGCATCACATATTCTTTGTTAAATTGCTGCTTGCACAATACATGCTGCGTTCTGCAATAAACATTGCTCTCTGTATTGGGGTTTGCTCTGGAATGCAAGAGGTGCTGGGCAGGTTAATATTAACACAATTAGAAATGTCCATACTATGCTGGCAGATCTTGTTATCAATTGTAAACTAGATTTAAACAAAGTCTGTCAAAACAAAGGGTTCAAAATCTAGAAGCACTGGAGGGAGTTGATCAAAACTGGAGCAGACAGAATCTGGAGCATAGTAAGCATAGTAACCAATCAGCTTCTATCTTCAGTTTGTTCAGTTAGGCTTTGAAAATGAAAGAAAGAAGCTGATTGGTTACTATGGACAACTGCTCCAGATTCTGTCTGCTCCAGATTCTGTCTGCTCCAGTTTTGATAAATTCCCTCCCTGTATTTTAAAGAGGGGAAGTTCAGTCTGTCCTTAGTCTTTCTATAGGGACAGCCAGGGTTTCCTGTCATGTGGAAAGTGAGAGAGAAGCTTGAAAAAGCTCCAGCTACACAGAAACATCTAAAATTAATATATATATTATATTTTGAAGTATGGTGTGTGAATAGGAACACATAACAAACATAAAGAGGGGTTTTCTTAAAATTGACTGCAAAAGTGGAAATACATTTTAAGTTAGGAAAACTATCAGGTCTATTCACAAAAGGGTGAAGAGTATGGAGGAGGCAGGAGAAGTGAACAATCTAGGCTAAAATAGCTGATTTGGAAACATTCTCCAATTGAGCTCACTTTCTAATTCAGCTATGTTGTCCTAAATTGTTCACTTCTCCTGGCTTCTCCAAACTCTTCATCCTTTTGTGAATAACCCTGTATGTTGTGAATAAGAAGGGAGAAGCATGGCTACTCTGCTTCAGAATAACAGCAAACATTTATGACCCTCACTGCATTAGCTTACGTATATTTGCAGCTTAAGGTAACATTATTTATTTACAGGTTGATATTTTTTCAGTGAAGTCTCCAGTCTGCATATGATCACTTGGTCATAGCTGACATGGTGATCACATGATCAGTAACCACTCTGTTTGGTTCCGAAAATGTCACTGTGACCCAAGCTGTTAATAACAGGCAGGATTGAGACCCAGCAGCAACACAATGCCACCTGCTAGCTCTCAAACAGGGATGTTTATAAATGTAACCCCTGCTAAGGGGCATTGTGTTAGGGGACATTTATTTAAATATTGAGTCTGGAAAGGAATTAATTTTATAATGTCATGTATCTTTAATGTACTCCCTCAAGTCAAATGTTAATTAGAATGTACTTACTGTCTATTCCAGCAATATAAAGATCAACGTCAACCTTGATAAACTCTTTCATGATCTAAAAAACAAAAAGTGGTTCAAGTTTAAAAAGAAAATGTTGTTACATATTCAGATAATTAAATATGGCTTCTTATATAGACTGTGTGCCAGTGTTTTTTCAGAAAGGTACATAAGGAGGGGGCAGACACATGAAAGGTAAAAGTTGGCTGGCTCTTTTATTGCCCAGTAGCTAATCATTACATTCAAAGTCCAGACTGTGGTTCTATATTGCTGATGGGAGCACAGGGCAGTCCCTTAAAGTATAAATGCATTGGTGGTGCAATGGTGGTGAAAATGTATTGAGCTTTGGTTTTGTTTCCATGAAAAAAGTTTAGTGTGTTAATTTTAATACCAAGCATCAGAGGACATTTATAGAGTAACGACAGTGTAACAAGCTGTTAGCTGAGCTGGACACAAACATCCATTCATTCAGCAACCTTGTGAGTGACATTAAAGCCCAAATGACATTAAAGTGATATTAAAGCCTAAATCCCCTCCAGAGCCAGCCTTAGGCCTTTACGCGGCCGGTGCGAGAAAGCTCTACAGCGCCCCTCAGTGACCACACCCCTCAGTAACCCCACCCCTCAGTGGCCACACCCATTTCCCCCCAATATCCGCACCATTTAAAGACTTCCATTTTGTTAAGCTCCAAAGAAACATATTAAAAAGTATGATAAAAATAAAACTTGTATTCAAAGGTATTAAACTTGTAAGCACATTATAAGTATTCTTATTAAATAAAAGAACTGTATGCAAACAAGTGGTAAACAATAAATGTCAAACTAAAATATAGTCTATAAAAATAAAGTGTCAGGATTTTATCTAGAACCATTTTTTCAAGTAAGTTCATCTAAAAAAGTAAAAATAAAAAACAGAACACAAAACCCAGACTACATGTTAAATTAATGAATTACTATTTGCCCGAATATACGATAAATGTATTCAGGCACATAATAATTTGTTTGAGAATGTGCGGCGGCCATGTTGGCCACCGGCGCATTCTGCAAATGCGTACCACCATCTTGGAGGCAAGAAGCATGATGTCACATAATGCCATGCATGGGTGGCGTCAGGTGACGTCACACGCCGATATAGGAGCCACCATCTTGGTGTATACTTAGATATACACCAAGATGGTGGCGCCCAACACGTGTGGTGTTATATGACGTCATGCGCCCTGCCTCCAGAACACGCCAATGACTGGATCCAAAATAGCATAAAATTTGTTCTGTTTGATGAAACGAATGAAACGTTTTTAGTTTTCGTTCATTTCATCTGAAATTAATTTTTAGTCTTTGCACATGTCTAATAATACCTGTGTGTGTGTGTGTGGGGGGAGGGGGGGGTATTCCCTTTTAAAATAGAAAATAAATGGAGGATACAAAGTCCTCAATTTCTTTTTCTGCAGCCTCTGTTCTAAATTAATGGGAAGCACTCAGTACAGAGGCTTCCCGTTCATTCAGAAACTGGTGATGGTAAAGTATTAACTATCACCAGTTTCTGAATGGGGAGGAGCCTCTATGGTGAGTGCTTCTCCCCATTCAGAAATTCATGATTGAACAGAAAGTGATGCAAATCACATCCTGTTCATTCATAACTGGGGACACATAGTACAATTTGTCCCCAGTTATTTACAAACATTGGAGTAATCAGACGATCACTCCAGTGTTTGTTCCGCACACACATCGGTAAATGTCACAGATATTTACCGATACTCCGCTTGGCCACGCACACAGACGCTGTCATCCTGAAACTGACAGTATGACAGTGGCTCCGCTTTTCTCACCGCTCGGCCATCCTGAAAGCTGCGGCTTATCTCCTCCTCACCGCTGGCCATCCAACATGACAGTGCTCCCTCCTGTGCCCCCCTGCAGGCTTCAGCACACAGTTTTTCCTCGGAACTGAGGACAGCACTGAAGTGGGCGGGGGGTGGGGTGCGGGCTGTGGAGGGAGCACTGTCATGTCAGATGGCCAGTGGCGAAGAGGAGAGTAGCCGACCATGCAGCCGCACAGCTCGAACACCCCAAAGGCCGGCCCTGATCCCCCTTCCCCAATGCTTAGGTAAGGACTTAAATGATGCCTCTTGATCCGATCTTCTTTCCAGTAGTTTTTAGGAGTCCCTCCAGCGCCGACTTTCTACTGAGCATGCGCCTTCCTCATGATCTTTTGCGGCCACCCGAGAATCTTCAGGCGGGAGCACGCAGCAGAGACATGTTCTAACCCTTTTGTTAACTTTTTTATATTTTTGCATATATCTACTGCCTGCTAGCAGTAGATATACGCAAAAAAAGTAGAGGCATTATTAATCCTTTAAGCTCCTGGACTTTGTCCAACATGGTATACACTTTTAAAATAGCAATACATGTTTGAGTTACCTTTGTCTTATATATTAACTTGTAAGCGGTAAACTACTACTGTTTTAAATGATAACTAAAGCCAAAACTTTGTCAATGTCCTCTTGTGACCCAAAATCAGCATATCCAGATACTGCCAGCTATATGCTGACAGTGCTGCAGCCGGGAAAGAACCCGACAATATTGTCAGGATCCACCCTGCTGCCTCACCAACAGCTGGCTCTGTCTTTCTAGAGACAGATCCAGCTGTGCCCACCCTCTCTTGTCTGTCCCTCCAATGAATGCTGGAGGAACAGAGGGGGCAGGAGGAAAAGCCCTGTGGGAGCCGTGGTTAATCGCTCTCTGCAGGGAGAAACCATGAGCTGAGAGATTATCAGTTCGGGATCACTCAGCTTTTGATCTATATAGCCGGCATGTGACACCCGCAGTGTGCCACATTGGCTCTTAGTATTGGAAAGCAGGGTTATCCCTACCTTTTTTGCTGCCTGAGGCGGCCAGAAGAAGGGGGCTGAGCTGTTAGCCGGGTGGGAGGCGGCAGGTGGCTGAGCAGGAGGCGGTGGGAGACAGTCAGGACCGGATTTACTCTCTCTGCTGCCCCAAGGCCAGGTTCCTCAATGCTCCCCCCTAACCGCCAACCCCCCCATTGGTGAATGGTAACAGGATAGCTGGGGTGGCAGGGTTAGTTTGACATTTTTTTCATTGTTTCTTTATTTTTTCTTTACTTTTTTATCACTTTTTAATTTTTAATTTTTTTCATATATCTTATTATTTTATTTGAACGAAAAGGGTTGTGTTACAGCGCTAAAGGTTAAATTAATTAAATAGGAACTATACTCGTGTAATCAGAGATATAATAGATTAATTAAATGAATTGAACACGTAAGACACCATCAAATGTTCAATAAAGATGTGTGAGAGGGCTGCGGGTTTACACAGCCTGAGGAGAAACCCTTAGGTGAAATAATGCAATAAACGTAAAAACTGTGAGATAACTGTAAATATCTGAATTAAATTGTGTCAAAAAGGAGCGCGAATAAAGGGAGATCTAATGGTCCTTGTAGGCGGGAAACACTGAGTTTGAATTGGAACGTGATCATGGACCTGATTGCCGCTAAACCATAAACTCGTTTACTCACCACATTCTGGTGAGTACCTATCTATAAGGGGGCTGCTGATCGAATTGAAAAGGATTACTGTTATTCATCTTGTGTTTTCTTTATTGACTTTTAGATATTATTCATTGACCTTTTTTTCTCCATTTTTTGTTTTCTCTTTTTGCAAGAGTACTGCCTACTGATTGATATAGATCGAAAAAATCCTTTTGTACTTATTTTCGTTTGTCACTGTATGGTTATCAGGATCTTGTCTCATGAACCACAGATTGTTTATCTAATTTAACAAATGTACCAATATTTTACTCTATTTGGTATTACTTCCACTTGTCACGATTTATCACTTATGTGCCACCATTAGATCTCCCGTTTATTCGCGCTCCTTTTTGACACAATTTAATTCAGATATTTAGTATCTTTTTTTTAACTTAACTTTATTGCTATCACACAGAAACTAACAAGTCCCTGTGTGATAGCATTTGAAGGTGACAGATTCTCTTTATTTAATCTGTCACCTCCAATACAGGAGTTCTAGCACAGCACTGGAACTCCTGTGACAGCTGAGAGAGGGAAAGACTGCTCTCCCCTCTCACTGTTTACATGGAGTGGCAGGGTTAGTTTTAACCCTGTCGCTCTCCGCTCTCCATCCTGAAGCAGCCAGTGTGGAGAGATACTTGGCGGCGAGGAGAGGACAGAGTCGGGAGGAGGGACCAGGAGGACAGAGCCAGCATGGAGAGAAATAGGTGCGGGGGGGTTGGCGGCGGGGGTAGGAGGTAGAAGTGGCTTCACTGTTCTACATTTAGCCATGCTTGTGCATGTCCTGGGAACTGCGTGTCCTGGGCGTCTGGAGATTTCAAACCGCTGCTGCCCCGCTGCTCCCTGCTGCCCATGAGGCCTAGCCTCGGTGGCCTTGTGGGGAATCTGGCACTGGAGGCAGTGGGAGGCTGAGCTCTCAGCAGAGGGTTGCTGTTAGTTGCTGGTGCTGCTGCCCTCCCCCCGCACCTGCCACCCCTACAATAAAATGCTACTTGAGGTTACCACCTCAGGCTGCCTCATTATAAGGATACCCCTGTTAGGAAGAGTATATTTTTTCTCTAAAATTCTTCAGGTTACACCATACCAGTGTACATTCGAGTTCACTCGAGTCCACGCTCTTGTCTATCTATGGATATTTAATAATCACTACTAGCTGATCTCACTTATACGCAGATATAAACCAGGCACCAGCATTGCTATCCTCTTCCTGCAGCCTCCTGTGATATGTGACATCAGCATTCCAGAAGGCTGCAGCAGGAGAATGAAAAGTTGGAGCCAAACAAAATTGTGCGGAAAAAAAGTACAATAAAACTAATTTAAAAAAGCTTTGCCTTTAATAAAAGGGAAAGGGGGTTTACAATGCTCTCTTTTTTGAGTTAAGGTCTGTTTCCTTGAAATATTACTTACCGCTTTTAGACCTTTCATTCCAGACATGTCTAAGAAGGACACCGCTCCAAAATCAATGATTAAACTATGAAGATCAATTCTGGGAACCTTGATATTATTTGGCAGATCTGCATTCCAGTCGATGACAATGGGCAGGTCAGCAGTGTTAATAGGTTTGTCCAACTCTTCAATGCTGTTATTGTCTATTTCTTCATAATCAGACTCATTGGGGTCATATGATGTACATATCACACCCTTCTGCAATAGAAATTGGTTGAACATTAACTGAAAAATTGGCATCACCCCATGGGGCTGAAACAAAACAGCAGTGTTATCAGGCAGAGCAGGCACATTTGAATCAGAGCAAAAAAGGGAAGTGGAATGGAAAACTTGAGGCTAATTTAAAGCTGAACTATATCCTTACCCTCAGTGTTGCACAGTTGTACTAGGCTCCTCTCCTCTATTGAAATTGCTTACTCTGATTTTGCTACATGCTGTTTGCTTTTCACAATGTGCATTACAAGCTGCAGCAAATCAGAATGAGCCCCCCTTCCTGGAGGACACTTTCCTTTCTCCCCAGCCTTACCCACTTCATTCATTGGATTTCACTTCTTTCAATCCTGGATACTCTGCATTACATGTGGGTATTATCAAGGGTGGCCTGCATGCAACTATAGCATACATAGGAATCCCCATTCCTCCACACTGACATTTATCCATCAAGGCGTTCTCCTCCTAAGAGCAGTCCACTGGTTTACATCAGGGCTGGTGGCCTTGAGAGGTGGCAAGATGCTGCCATGTTTCCAGGAAGCTATGTACAGTACCTTTACAGTCCCTCCTATTTGCTATGATTTGCTTCCATAGCACAGAAAAGCACAGAGACCCAGGGATTACATCACTGTGTCTAGAATAAGGTATGTAGTAAAAATGGGAAGGTTTTATTCATGTTTTCTGGATGCCTTTACACTGTGTATATTGAACAAACATTTGCTACTTACTGGTGTAAAATGAAGTTCCCCTTTACTCATCAGCTTCATTATTTTTCTTAGAGCCTTATTGCGCTTGCGTAACACTCTCAATGGGCTAAACCCTGCCTATAATACATAAAAAGCAGTCATATTTAATGTATTCAAATAAATATAAAACATGGATTTATGCATGATGTCTGACTTACAGCAGCAACAAGTTTATCTTTAAAAAAGTCAATATTGGCAAAAAATATTGGTGATGGACATCTGAAGATCTTGATTCCTTGAGGTTCATATATCTGTAGAACACAAATAAACATCAGTGTATTAGACGTCCATAAATAGAGAAAAAGGGTGTAATAAAAGGACAGTAAGGATAATGTGTTCATGAAATGGTCAGTTATAGTTAGATCAGGTTCTACAAAAGGTTCTTATGGTCATGCTGAATCATGCTTATGGGCAACTTTACTATTAACCACTTCAGGATTGGCGCGCTACACCCCATTCATTACCCGGCCATTTTTGAGTTTTTAGTACTGAGATAGTTTGGCTGAGAATTGGCTGTCACACAACACTGTATCCAAATGAATTATATGTGAATTATATGTAATTTTTTTGAGACAGACAGCTTTCTTTTGGTGGTACTAAAAACGGCTGTTTTTAAAATTTGTTTTTGCCATATAATAGAAAAAAGGACAGTAGAACCCCCCCCAAAAATTTAAAAAAAAAATCCCTTTTACGAAAGTAGACACCCCAAGGTGATTCAATTTTTTGTCAGAATTATTTGGAAATGAAGAAACATGCCATTAGGTGGGCTTGGCAATGTAAACATTGTCATGCGACTGCAATGATGAGCAGTCACAGGGATCACAAGGCACAGAGCCTGTCTGATCGGGTCTCTGTCTGTAGGCAATGCTCTCTGCTGTCTAATAACAATTGGTCCAGTGACTTGTGCACGCATTCTAGATCATATATTCTCTGGCTATCATTCATTAGAGACTATGGAGTCTATTGTTTTCAATGATGCAGACCCTTTCTGCTATCTTGCAGTAATACAAGAGGGCAGCAAGGCATCACCAGAAAGCAGAGACTGCATATGTAATGAGAAAAAATGACCACCCATATTTACCTAGATAATCACAAGATATACCCCGCAAGTACACACTTACATTTGTATAGTCTTTTCTGTTTCTGTAAATGTCTGTTCCAATAACGTTTGCAACCTGTGAGCATTTTGGACTGCAAAAAAATAAAAACATGCTGCACATATCTGACCATATATATCCAAAAAATACAGCTACTGAGTCATACTAAAATGTAGATCAGGTATTGTCCAAACAAACAATAGTAAAACTTCTAGAACAAGCTGCAATTGCTAATACGTGGCTTTTTTATTTTAGATTTTGTACTAGAGATGATTGTTATTAATAATATAAATGTAACATTGAATTTTTTGTACTTGTATTCTGAATAGTGTAGGCTAAACACAAAACTCTACTTACAATTGTGCACGAAATACCACAGTTAGCAACTCAAATCCAACTCCTGCTGCCAGTCCAAAGTCAAGCCCAAGTAGAACAGCAGAAATAAAGGTCACCAAACACACCAACTGTTAATGAATGAAAAATTAGCTGTAAGTCATGTCATATATATATAAATATATATAT